GCAAAACAAGGCAAAACTCAATGAGCAAGGTAGTTATGCATTGTAACTCACCCTAAATCTCATGTGGGGATAAATTCAAGTCAGAATGGTAGGTTATGAGGAGCTTGGCATGAGATAGCATGTGGAGAGAATTGAAATCAAAATACCATGCCATGAGATATCCAAAAACTCATTGGAGCCATCCAGAACATTCTAGATCTTTCTAACATCACCTATATAACCATTAGAGATGATCTAAGCAAGGGTTGAACTTCATTTGGTGCAGAGAAGAGAGATTGAGATCCATCTTGCTCACTTGCAATTCAATTTCGAATTCACCCAATTCTCCATCATTTCTTCATTTTTTTGATCCAAATCAATTCAATAATCATCACTGAGTATATTCCAATCAAAACTAGAGTGAATCCATGGCTGAATCGAGTTCTTGAATTTGAACTTTCACCCTTGCAACTGAAATTCTGTTACACTGATTCAGGCCATTTGAGGAAGATCTATTGCATACAGAATCAAGCAATCATCACACTGATCGATTCTGGAACTTATCAAACATTGATTTGGAGCTTTGGTTCATCTGTTTCACTCATCTTTACAGGTTAGTAATTTTCTCACCATGGCTTGAATTAGATAGAATCATCAAGAATTGTTAGGATAGAAGCAATGTATGTGGTTAGGAGAAGCTTTCTGGAGAGTTTGAGAGGAATTGGTGATGATTCATATATGGACACAAATTCTGTTGAGATCAAGAACTCCATGAATATACAGTTAGAACCTTAGGTTTTTAGTTGTATTTGATCAGTGATGAGTAGGGAAGGCATTGAGACACTTAATTAGATGATTGGTGATGTTTGAATTTCTGATCAATTTTGGGGATGGGATCGGGTTTGCTGTTAGAGACCATATCAATTGAATCCAATGCCATAGATGAACTCAGGGAAGAAAATAGAGCAGGTTAGGGTTTTGTTTCGTGATTTTTGATCAAGATTTGATGAGGTTCGATGTTGCTGAGTTTGGAGCTTTCTTGGAAGTTCATCCATGGAGTTTTGGCTCCATTTTGATTCAAATGAAGAAGACAACCACCAAGCCGTTGGATCATGAGTGGACTAGTTGATTGATTGAGGATCCAAAGGCCAGGGTTTAATTTCACGTGTGAAGAGAATCTGAGACCACATTGAAACGATGTGTTTCATTAAAGGGAGTTTTGGGCTGAATGACTAATTGCACCCCCTTCATGAGGCCCATTGTGAATTGAACTGAAAACCATTGCTTTTCGCACCTAAGCTTTTTCTTTTTCTTTGTTATTTAATTGTTTTTTCTGATTAATGAATTGGGCCCAGGCGCATTGCTATCTGAACCCCCCATTATGGGCCCAAGCATGAATTGAACTGTGTCTGGTTACTTCGTGCACCCCATCTCATATTTTCATTCTATTTTCTTCATTTTTATTTTTGATCTTTAAAAAATCATAACAATTTGAAAAATAATGATTTTTTAATGGGAGTTTTTTCTCCTATTTCATATTTTTGTCTAGAAAAATATAAAATAAAAATATTTTCCATATCATGCATTTTAGTTTTTTTTGTATATTTTTTACTTTTATTGCATTTTATTCCTTTTATGTTGATATACGATTTTGTAGAATTTAGTTTAGGTAGCTCCCTTTATAGTTTTAGGTCAATCTTTTTAGGGTAGTTAGATATATGTTTTAGCTTCCCCCTGGATTTATTCCATGATTTTAGGATTATTTTTAGATAATTTTGATTAGTGGATATTAGGATGGTGAAATTAGGGTTTATACACAACTTAGGTGTATTAAAACAATTTCTTTTGGGTTTTTTAGATTGAATTAGGACTTGGGGAATATAGGGTATTAAGGGTAGGTATAGTAGATCCCCTAGAAATAATATTAGAATTTTCCCTACTATATTAATATTTTTAGTATATTTTGCAATTATATGCTTGTTTGGTGTGCCCTTTTGGGGTTTATATTGTTTGTGTGGGCTTATTGGGCTTTGCTTGGGGTGTGGGCTTGGTTTGAAGAGCATGATGATGAAGCATATTGAAGACAAAGTTGAAGCTGAAGATCAAAGCTTGATGAAGATGCTTGGCTTGCTTGAAGCTGTTTGAAGACCTAGGACATAGGAGCTAGAGAGAGCCTTAGAATAGAAAATTTCTTCACAAACATGGATGGCTTCTTTTGCCTCCATTCTTCTCTGTGATTAAAAGTCTCTCCTTAATACTCACATCCCTCCTTTGGAAGGATTAGTGACTATATCTGGGAGATAGAACTTTGAGAGAAACAGTCTGTATTATGTTAACTTTCTGTAGGCCACCTTTGGTGCCCAGCAGACTGTTTAACATCCAAACTCATCTGGTGAACTGTTTAGCCTCTAGGAGAGCTTGCTTTGAAGAAGCCCTTGAAGATGGAAGATGAAGTTCATTGCCTTGAAGACTGATAGAAGAAGGAGTTTGTGCTGTCAGGTTTTGCTGTTTAGAGCTGCTGGTGCTGTGTAAAGCTGGTGATGTATTGTTTGAGTTTCTTGACTGTATTGTTTGTTAATTTTCCCCTGGAGGTTGAAGTGAAGTTGTTTCACTTTGCGATTATTTTCTAGGTTCGAGGTTGAGTGGGACTCCCTTGCCTCGCTTGTATTGCTGCATTCATGCATTTTACCGCTTTACTGTATATAGGTTGTTCTTTTCCGTTCATCCCCTTAGGATCTCTGTTTCTCTCTGCGCAGGAGAGAAATACGACAGACACTAGGCTTTCATCCATGCATGACAACATTAGGATAGATTTTAATTCCCTTTTCAACCATAGGTTTTAGAGTTGTTGTTTCTCTTCTTTCTCAAAACAATCAGAAAAATACAATAAAAGGATAAACATCAATAAAAAACAGTTCTTGCGTAAAAGACTGTAAACCAATCAAAACGTCATTTTTGTCCGCTTGGACTCTTAATCAGGAGAGAACCCTTTTCAGAAGGAGATAAAAACAATTCAGATAAGCTTGTGTCGTACGTGGCCCGAGCTACGTTTGCTCTGATCTTTCATGCTGTATGAAAGTACGTAGGTATAGGATGCGATATCCTAGAGAGCAACCTTCCCTCCTTTCCAGTAGGTAGGCGAACTACGTTGACTCTGATTTCTCATTCCAGACGGGAATACGTAGGCATAAAGTGCGATACTTTGCCGAGTCATTTTCTTTTCTTTTAACCTCAGACCTGTAGAATAGTTAGAATAACAATCCGTACCAGAAAACAAGCGTGGATCCCGTCGAGTACGAAGGACGTGAGGGGTGCTAATACCTTCCCCTTGCGTAACCGACTCCCGAATCCAGGATTTAGTTGCGATGACCATTCCTTTCCCCTCTTTGCGGTAGGTTTACTTCAAGCGTTTCCTTTCCCTCGGTTGGGATAAATAACGCACGGTGGCGACTCTTCTGTTCAGCCGGCGCCGATTTTTGCAGTAGCGACAATATGTTTGAAAGGACAATTACTTCATGTAACTTATAGTTATATAAATCAATTGCAATAACAACAGAAATATTTATTTGCCATTATCTTGTGGAGAGATTATTTTGTTAAGATATACAAACCATTGGCATTAGTTATATTAAAATGTTCTTGCCTTTTATGAATCCCAATGTTGTCTGCTTACTTTTTAACAATTCTGCAAAACCTGTACTAATTTACTTGGCACAATTGCTTTAGCTGTATTTTCTGACATTTAAAGTATTGTGTTTACCTATGTAAGATATACTTTAAGGGTTGTGCATTTCTCATTACTTCCTCTTACTGTTTTAATGTGTAGGTCATAATAGCTAAGTACTTCATATTACAGTTGTTTAACATAATAGTATAATTTCACCAGCATCTTTACACTGCACTCATTGACTCATTGCCTTTTTAACATATTAGTATAAGTTATGCAAGCCATGTTTGTTTTTCATTGACTCATTGCCTTTTCAAGCTACATGAAAATTTTAACCTTAATCTCACAGGTTTTAATGCACTTATTTTTACTACACTTCTGCACAACCCTATAATACATAGTCATCTTTTGCGTGTTTCAATCATGGCTGTCTAGGGACCCTGCAAAATCAGCAAAAGCAAACCAGCCAGTTCTGTCAAAATATTTACTTGCAGACTACCAATTCAGTTATAACTAATTTGGTTTGTATGCAGTTCAAAACATTTGGGGAAAATCAATTCAAAATTGAAGCATATTTGATATTGACTTTTTTAAGCCACCAGAAAAAGTCAACTACTCCCTTTGATTGACTGTTAGAACATCAACACAAAATTGTTAAGCTTCATCCAAATAGCATAGATTCAATGCAGCTATTTCCACTTTGAGGTAAATTATTTTTTCCTTACAACTGTCCAAGAAGCATGTTATCACCTGCACTCTTATTGTTCAATCTCTTCCTCATGATGTTTAATATCTTACTAATTTATATTGATATATTGTATGCAAACTTCAATTTAATTTGATTAAATATATGATTAAGCTGCAATTTTAAAATGGTGGGATTAAGCTGCTGTTGGTTTTAGCTTATATTAAATGTGGGAATAATCTGCTGCAGTACCATTATAACATGAACGAAATTCAAATGTGGGTGAGAGCTTTCATTCATAAGTAGCATCTGTACTGATAGAAAGTTTCAGCACTTCATTTATGATAAATAGAATAACCACTTAAATGGCATTGGTTTAGTTTCATCCACATTAGCTTTGCAGCTTCGACTCACCGTCGGATTTTCTTCCTTAGTGTTACCATTGGCTCCATGTAGATCACAATAATATCAGTACCTGAGTCGCAAGCATGGGGTATTTGAGGTGTATTGAACATGTATTACCATTGGCTCTTTGTGCTACTGTTTTTTTATGCTAGAGGTGTATTGAACGGTATATAGTTAGGAAATGTTGATGATAAGCTAGCATTTGCCTTCATATAGTTCTTAACAACATGAAAAGGCCCCAGTTTGAGTCATTTTAACAATATATTATATTCTTGATGATATAAGTCTTAACAGCATGAAATGGGCTAGATATCTTAACTCAAGATTATCTGTAAGAGGACTCAATGGAAAAATGCCATCTATGTCAATCAACACCACATCAAAACCATCCTGTGATGCTTTAACACCATTGAAATAGGCCTCAATCACAGATTTCGTTAAATCCAAATCTCTAGCATATTGACCACCTTTGATATACTGTACCGCCAGATCCTTACAAATTTCAGGAACATTATATTCTTCTAAATGATTGAACTTAGCATGCAGAGAATGAACTTTGCAATAACTATAGTCATCGTTTACATTCCTAAGCTCTAGAATTCCAGCACTATTATTTTGACAAGATTGTAACATCATTGCCATTGAAACCAACAGAGTGATTAATAAAAGTCCAAGAGCTGCAAATCCAGCAATGAAGATTGTTGCAGAAAATGATATGATATAGAATCCCGATTCTAACATAAAACTGCTCCCCATCTCTGTGACCAAAAAAAAGGAAGAAAAACACAACAAACTTATCATCAAAATTATACAAAAATATTAACTTGAAGTTAACAAAAGATATAGTAGCTAATGATTCAAGGTCAATTAGTTGAATATGAAAATTCTCCATCATATTATTCATTTCGAGATCAGGTCGCAGGCTTGATTAACATGATCAAGAATTTTCAATTTCATTCATGAGCGGAATCTACCATATAAGTGATAATAATTCTTGGTCATACCAGAAGCAGTAGAGAGACTCCTTGTAGAATAAGCATGTTCCATTTGATGGCCATAAGCAGACATAATAACAGATTAGGAAATGTTGATGATAGAGCTAGCATTTGCCTTGATATATTGAACATTATATAGTTAGGAAATGTACAATGTTAATTGGTATTTGAGGTGTATTGAACAGGTATTACCATTGGCTCTTTGTGCTACTGTTTTTTTATGCTAGAGGTGTATTGAACAGTATATAGTTAGGAAATGTTGATGATAAGCTAGCATTTGCCTTCACATAGTTCTTAACAACATGAAAAGGCCCCAGTTTGAGTCATTTTAACAATATATTATATTCTTGATGATATAAGTCTTAACAACATGAAATGGGCTAGATATCTTAACTCAAGATTATCTGTAAGAGGACTCAATGGAAAAATGCCATTTATGTCAATCAACACCACATCAAAACCATCCTGTGATGCTTTAAAACCATTGAAATAGGCCTCAATCACAGATTTCGTTAAATCCAAATCTCTAGCATATTGACCACCTTTGATATACTGTACCGCCAGATCCTTACAAATTTCAGGAACATTATGTTCTTCTAAATGATTGAACTTAGCATGCAGAGAATGAACTTTGCAATAACTATAGTCATCGTTTACATTCCTAAGCTCTAGAATTCCAGCACTATTATTTTGACAAGATTGTAACATCATTGCCATTGAAACCAACAGAGTGATTAATAAAAGTCCAAGAGCTGCAAATCCAGCAATGAAGATTGTTGCAGAAAATGATGTGATATAGAATCCCGATTCTAACATAAAACTGCTCCCCATCTCTGTGACCAAAAAAAAGGAAGAAAAACACAACAAACTTATCATCAAAATTATACAAAAATATTAACTTGAAGTTAACAAAAGATATAGTAGCTAATGATTCAAGGTCAATTAGTTGAATATGAAAATTCTCCATCATATTATTCATTTCGAGATCAGGTCGCAGGCTTGATTAACATGATCAAGAATTTTCAATTTCATTCATGAGCGGAATCTACCATATAAGTGATAATAATTCTTGGTCATACCAGAAGCAGTAGAGAGACTCCTTGTAGAATAAGCATGTTCCATTTGATGGCCATAAGCAGACATAATAACAGATTAGGAAATATTGATGATAGAGCTAGCATTTGCCTTGATATATTGAACATTATATAGTTAGGAAATGTACAATGTTAATTGGTATTTGAGGTGTATTGAACAGGTATTACCATTGGCTCTTTGTGCTACTGTTTTTTTATGCTAGAGGTGTATTGAACAGTATATAGTTAGGAAATGTTGATGATAAGCTAGCATTTGCCTTCATATAGTTCTTAACAACATGAAAAGGCCCCAGTTTGAGTCATTTTAACAATATATTATATTCTTTATGATATAAGTCTTAACAGCATGAAATGGCCTAGATATCTTGACTCAAGATTATCTGTAAGAGGACTCAATGGAAAAATGCCATCTATGTCAATCAACACCACATCAAAACCATCCTGTGATGGTTTAACACCATTGAAATATTCCTTAATCACAGATTTGGTTAGATCCAAATCTCTAGCATATTGACCACCTTTGATATATTGTACCGCCAGGTCCTTACAAATTTCAGAAACATTATGTTCTTTCAAATGATTGAACTTAGCATGCAGATGTCATACCCTAAATTTTCCCGCTCTTTTTTTTGATCAAAAGCATTGGTACAAGCCATCAGGAGCATGAGAAAAAGAAAGAATGAAAGCCTGTTGAATATCTCAAAAGTCATGGTGGAGTTGGAATGATCACCCAGTTCATCTGCTCAGTGCCCAAGCAAAAAGGGGAAATTAGGGTTTTCGCACAGTTAAAAGTCGAGGCTTCAATGGTTTGATCATTCGACGTCTTGAATTGATTTCCCATGAAATAAGTTCAAGGATGATACATTGGTTTAAATATGAATTCAATTTGAGGTTGGCACTCAAATATTGAAGACAATGCAGCTCAGGCCCGATTAGGGTTTTCGATCAGGAAAAGTCAACTATAGTTTGACTTTTGTTTTGAAAGGTGTTCCAATTATGCAATCTTAATTCATAAGTTTTATATGGCTTAGTGAAGTCCATTCAAGAAAGTTCAAGGCCTTGGAAGACCCGAATCGTCAACAGTCGACTCGGTAGTCACCGATTGATCGAACGGTTGACCGAAAAGTCAACTCTTCAACAACAAGGAATTTGACTTCAAGATGTGAATCAAAAATGTTCCTTATGTCATATTACACCTTCCCATAAAATTTCATGACCATTGGTTCAAGGGTTAAGAAGTAATTGCAAAAGTCGGGAATTAGGGTTTTGAAAGGGGCAAGACCATAACTCCTCAACCACACATCCAAATGAAGTGGTTCAAAGCTCATTAGAAAGCTCTTGGAAAGTCCTACAAAAGTCCCAAAGTGGTCCATGATCAAAAAATGCATAGATTTGGAGTTATGACAAAATTCATTTCAAGAAGGGAAATAACTTAGGAAAATTCTAAGTCATTTAGCCTTTTAAGTATGATTTTTCAGCAACTTGAAGGGGTTTTTCAACCTAGTTCCATCTAGAATTTGGAAATATCAAAAACATGCAAGTTATAGAGCTACTTGAGGGCTTTCTAAATTGTGGTAGAACTCCTCAATAGCATGTGTGAGCAGAAAGTTATGGGTCATGAAAGTTAGGGCCGCCACACTTGAGATTACCAATCCAACACTTTTCAAAATTCAGATTTCCATAACTTGAGCTATCCTTGACCCTTGGATTATGATTCAATCTGATAAATAGAGGTGTGGATGAGTGAAAATGCAGAAAAATGAGAGATATGAAGAGAGAGGCAAGTTGCAAGCAACTTGTAATAAAATAATCAAATGTGTAAGAGGAAAGAGAAACTTTTCTCCTAAGAAAACTGTAGCAGCTGCAAGACTCATCACTCTAAGCTCTATGCAGTCACTTCATGCATCATTCCACTTGATTTTCTGACCTTCCTTGAGCCATGGAACTTATATGTAGAGATCTTGGCAAGATTCATTTCAAAAACTTCATAATCTCCCTCCAAAAGTGGCAAAATCCAAATCTGCCCTCATGTTCATTTTCACTATAAATAGAGGCACTCTCTATGATGTTAGTAAACCAGAGCACTCTTAAAAACCAAGAGAAACAACAGCTCTCAACTCTCCACCATTTTCTAAAAAAACTTCATTTTTCAAAAACTTCAAGTTTTCACTAAAAAAACTGTCTTGAGTAAAACTCTGCTCAAACTCAGTTCCACCACTTCCAAGCCACTCAAAACCATTTACACAATCCATAAACATTGTGTAGAATGTTTTCATACACTCAAACCACCCAAAAACATCATTTTCCTAAAAGTTAAACTTCATACCTTTATATGTTGACTTTCATGCACTTTGGAAGCCAAATCTTTACTTGAGGCATTTCCTATCATTCCAACACTCCCAACACCTCATATATATCATACCTCAACTGTCCAAACTCACAAAAACCATCTGGGAGGTTCACAACTCAAACTGTCTTGAAAGATAGCTTGTTGCTTCAAGAGGAAGAAAGCTCTACATCTTTGCCAAAGAAGAAGGTCTCTGGGTTTCTTAGCTTTTTAGCTTGCTCAAGATTTGTCTACAAGAGGTATGTGATGCTCAAACACCTTATTGTTCATACATTGCCATGTTTTATCATTTTGAGATGCTTGTTGTGAAATGTAGTCATTGCTGTCCCATACTAGTTCTTTGTCAAGAACTTAGGTTTTGTAGCTATAGTATTTGCTTTTGTTAAGATATTTCATTCATGAATGATATGTTGATGATGTGTTACCAATATTTCACTTTGATATTGTATATAACTTGTTTTTGAAGATTTTATCTATATGGTAGTTTTAAGGATCCAAACATTGAAATGTTGGTGTGTTTGCCCTAGATTTGTCAATCTTAGTTTATTAATGATGTTTGGTTAACTTGTAAGTTATTTCATGAGATCCCCCTGCCCTAGATCATGTTTGAATCTAGCTTGGCTCTTGTTTTCACATTTGTATTAGTTTGTGTCATTTTTGCTTTACCATTACCATGAATCTTGTGCCAAGATGCTTGTGCTTGCCATGTTGTGTCTTAAATGTTCTAAGCTATTGATTTATGTTTACATGATCTTACTCATAATGTTTGAATTGGTTGAAATGTTGAAAGCATGAGATTTGTTCATTGAGGCCTGTTGTGAGTTTTTTTGTTGTTTTGCTGTCAAAGTTTGGATCAGCACACCAGTTCTGGTTTAAAGTAGTTTTTGTTTGATTTTAAGTTGTAGAATCATTTGTTAATATGTTTTGAGATTGTATGTTGTACTTGTAAGTTCAAAATGGCCCTACTTGCTCAAAACTGTTTTGTCATTCTCATCTTGCACTTTCAAAACTTCATAATACCAATCACATGTCATTTTCTGTTCCAACTGATTTTTGCTTTACCTATGTGCATAGAATCAATGTTTTACATGTTTGAAACTTGTATGTGGTGCCAAATCATCCCAACTGCCATAAACTTGCCTGCTGCCTTAATGTGTTGTTGTTTTTGCATTTCTTGAGTTTCAATATGCCCTTTTCTGTTTGATGATGGTTTGAGCTGATTTGTGAGCATGAAAATATCCTTTAACATGATTATGGTGTGTGTGTGTGTGTGTGTGTGTGTGTGTGTGTGTGTGTGTGTGTCATTGGATTAGCATTAAGGCATCATTACTTGAAATTTGCCCTGCTGTACCACTTTTCTGTTTCAAGACAGCTTTTTCACAACCATCAATATGCCAAATTTGGTCCTGTTGGAAATATGCTTGAAATTTAAACACAAACTCATCCATTTTCATGATTTTGATGTGTGTATATGTTTTGTTTGATCTATTCCTACTTGGTTCACTATCTCACCCCCAAATTGCTTTTACAAGCCAAAACACACCATTGACTATACCAAATCTTGCTCCAAATGCACAATGCTTTTTTTCTGAGTTGAAACTCATTTATCTTCACATTTTTGATGTGTATGTG